CACATACATGTAGGCAATACTCATACACATAAAATAAAAATAATATTTTTTAAAAAACTAGCAAAAATCACAAAAAAATTTCCCTTATTAAGTTTTTAACTGTTCTCTTGGAATATGTTAAGAATGGTATAGTAGGATCAGCAAGATGGCTCAGTGGGTAAAGGCACTTGCTACCAAGCCTGATGACCTGAGTTAAATTCCTGGGATCCATATGGTGGTACATGGGGAGAATCAACTCCTACAAGTTGTCCACTGACCTCTACACATGTACTGTACTATATGTGTACTGTTCCCACCACACACACACAGAAATAAAATAAAAATCAAGGTAGGCAGGGTGGTGCATGCCTTTAGTCCCAGCACTCAAGAGGCAGAGGCAGCAGTAGGCATACCTCTGTGAATTAAAGGCCATCCTGGTCTACACAGTGAATTCCAAACCAGCAAGGGCTAAATAGTGAGACTTAGTCTCAAGTAAATGAAAGAAAGAATGAATGAATAAACAAAAAAATGAAATAATATAATATAGTACTGATCTACAACATGGTAAGCCTTATATATATGCTATGTAAAAGACTGGATAAAGATGAAAAATACAGATAAATCCATATAGGCTGAAAGCAGATTACTAGTTGCCAGAGGCTGGAGGTAGGAAGGTGTAGGGAGTAACTACTAAATGAGTATGAGGTTTAATTTGGAGGCAAACAAAGCTTTGATACAAAGCAAGCTTACCATGATATCAAAAGCAGGTAAGAACACCACAAAAAAAAAATTATACATCAGTATCCCTGATAAACACAGATGCAAAAATTATCAATAAAATATTTGCAAACCAAATCTAACTACATTAGGAAAATCACACATCATGACCAAGTTAGTTCCATCCCAGGGATGCACAGAAGGTTCAACATTAGTAAATGTAATACATATATAAAGGTTTAAGGACAGAAATCAAGTGAGGCATAATCTCAACAGAGGCAGAAAAGGCCTTTGACAAAGTTCAATATAATACTGAGTGTGAAGCACAGAAAAACACACAGTACTGGTCGAGTTAAGAGTCCTTTAATACAGCTGGTGGTTGAGAGCAAGCTAATGCTAGAAAGAACTCTCCACCCCAAGGAGAAGCAGAGCAGTGTTTATAAAGTTTAAAACCACAATTACATCATGCCACAGGCAAAATCAATAACCATAGTTACATCAGATCACCAAAGTTACACCAGACTAGGGCAAGTCAGTTAATAAAAAGGGTTTCAGTTAACAAAAACTTTCTAAGTTTCGGTTAGGAAAAACAAGTTTCTCAGAATCACAGAAACAACGGGCTCCATGGAGATGGAGATATAGCTGTTTAAGAGGCATTCTACCTGGGTAGTTCTAAGTTTCCCAGTATTGCAGAATCAATGCACTCCCTAAAATGCAGATGCAGCTTTCATGGCCACTCTGCCTGGCTGGCTGCAGGAACAGGGGGCAGAAACAGGGCCTGAGAAAAGTCAGCTAGAATAAAATGGAGTCAGTTCTGACATTTCATTCAACATCCCTGAAGACAGAAGGAATAGAAGGAATATACAGCAACATAATGAAGGATATATACAACAAACCCACAGTCAGTATTATACCAAGTAGAGAAAAATTGAAAACACTCTCCAAGCCTGGTGTGGTTATACACAACTCTGATCCCATGCAGAGATAGGTGGATGTGTACTGAGGCCAGCCTGGTCTACATAGTGAGTTCCAGGCCAGCCAGAGCTACAGAGACCTTGTCGAAACAAAACGAAACAAAACCCAAAAATCAGGACTGAAACAAAGGTGTTCATTCTCTCTACTCTTAGTCGATATAGCACGTAAAATCTTAATAAGGCAATAAAAAGAAATAAAAGAATACAAATAGGAAAGAAGTCAATTATTCCTAGTTACAGGCAACATAACCTCTACTAAAAAGAGTCTAAAGATTCCACAAGAACACTCTTAGACCTGATACAACACTTTCAGCAAAGTAGTAACATATAAAATCAACATATAAGAATATTTTTCTATAAAGTAATAATGAACTTGTCACAAAAGAAAATTAGAGACAAATGTGGTGGCACAAGCTTGTCATCTCAGCACTTGGCAAGTAGAGGCAGGAAGACAAGTAGTTCAAGGCCAGCGTTGACTACATAGTGAGTTCAAGGCCAGCCCCTGAGCTACACGAAATCCTATTTCAAAAAAGACAATAAATAAGTAGTAAATACAAATTGGGTGGGAGTCCATTCATCATAAAAAAAATTACAGCACCCAGTAATAAACTAACCATGGAGAAGGTGAAGGAACTCTACAAATGAAAACTTTTAGACACCAAAGAAAGAAAATGGGTAAGACACTAGAAGACCTCCTCCATACACAAAGATTGGCAGAATTAACATTAGAAAATGGCTATATTACTAAAAGTAATCTGCAGATTCAATGCAGTCCCCATCAAAATTCCAATGGCATTCTTCATAGAACTAGGAAAAAAATTCTAAAATTAAAACAGAACTAACTCCCCACCGCCACAATCCCCAAATAGCCAAAGCAATCCTAAGCAGAAAGAACAGTGCTGGAAACAACACAATCCTGATCTCAAACAGAGCCACACTAACAAAAAATAGCATGATAGTAATAGACACAGACATACACCAATGGAACAGAACAGAGCACCCAGAAATAAATCCATACAGCTCCACCCACCTCATCTTGGACGTATTTGTTGTTGTTTTGACAGGGTTTCCCTAGTCCCAGCCCGCCTGGAAGTCACTATGTGAATCAGGCTGGCTTTGGTCTCTCAGAAATCCACCTGCCTCTGCCTCCCGAGGGCCAGAATTAAAGGTGTGCAGCACCATGCCAGGTAAAAATACCTATTTTCAAAAGCCAGTTTCTTCCATAACGGTGCTGCGAAAACTGTAGAAGAATGAAGTTGGAGCTCTCTCACTTAACCTGCACAAAAATTGATCCAAAGTGGATCAAAGACCTTAGTAAAAAATCTAAAACTGAAACTGCTAGGGGAAATACAGGTTAAGACCCTTTAATACACAGACATAGGCAAAGAATTTCTAAAAAGGATTCAAACAACACGTGAAATAATCCCAAGAGCTGAAAAATGGAATTGCAATTTAAAAGTTTTTGCAAAGCAAAGTAAATCAACCACAGAATGAAGAGACAGCCTGCAGAATGGGAGAAAATCTTTGCCAACTATACATCTGACAGGGGATTAATATCTAGAATCTACAGAGATTTGAAACCAAAGAAATACACCTGGTTAATACTTTTCAAACTGTTCAACATCCTATGGGTGAGACAGCTCAGTAGTTAAGGTGCTTTGCTATCAAGTTTGAAGATCTGAGTTCAATCTCTGGAACCAAAAGGTGAAAAGAAAGAACAAGTCCTGCAAGTTGTCCTCTAACCTCCACACATAGCACATATGCCCTCAACTCTCTCCCCAAAAATAAAAAAATGTTTAAAAAAATTTTAAGTGTTCAACATCCTTTGCCATCAGGGAAATGCACATCAAAACTGTTTTGAGATTCTATCTCAGATGGTCAGTATGGCTATCATCAAAACACCTAACAACAAATTCTGGTAAAGAGGAGGGGAAAGAGAAACCCTGGGGGATGGAGAGATGGCTCAGCAGTTAAGAGCACTGACTGCTCTTGAAGAGGATCCTAGTTTGATTTCCAGCACCCACACGGCTGCTAACAACTGTCCATAACTCCAGTTCCAGGGGAATTCAGCATTTCCTTCTGACCTCCGCAGGCATTGCACAACACAGGTGCACTTACATACATGCAGACAATACACTCATACACATTAAAATAAAAAACAGAAAACCTATACACTGCTGGTAGGAATGCAAACTGATGCAGCAACTATGGAAATCTGTGCAGGTTGCTCAAAAACTAAAACTGTAACTACCACATAACCCAGAGATGCCACTACTGCATTATATTCAGAGGTTCTAAGTCAGTAAACTAGTACCATTTTTACTGATGCGCTACTCACAACAGCCAAGATAAGGAAACTGCTTAAACATTCATCAACAGATAAATTCATAAAAAAAAACACATGGAAGCTGACGAGATGGCTCAGTGGGTAAAAGCACTTGCCATGCAAGCCTGATGACTGCAGTTCGATCCCTACAACCCATAATGGAAGGACAGAACTAAAGCCTGAAAGTTGTCCTCTGGCCGCCACATGTGTACTATGGCACACACACACATATAAAACTTATAAAGTTCAAAAAGAACAGAAGGTGCATACACACACACATATATATGTAAGACATGAAAGTAGAAAGGCTCTAGGAAAGGTGGAAGATAGTTAAAGGGAGCAGGAAGGAAGGGACAAGAGGGTAAGAGAATATCGTGAAAGCTGAAGGGAAACTTTGGGGGAAGGGAATGGTTGGGCACTGGGAGATGTGAATAAGAACAAAGAAGAATGATATGCACATATGAATGAAAATGTCACAACAGAACCTCATTTTTGCATGCTAACAAAAATTTTATGTATTTACAGAAAATTTGTTTTTTAATTGAAATGGTAACTAGGTAGTATAGAAACGAAACACCGTTTATGTGCTCACATTAAAATGGTCAATGTTATTTGAATTTCACTTGTATTTTAAGATATAATAACCATTTTTTCATGTTTAAAGGTATGAAGTAGAATGCTCATGGATAACAGAAGCATTACAGATTTCATTAGGTTTTAAAGAGAAACGCAATATAATGCTCAAGTATACAGGGAAGCAGTTTTTTATAAAATAACAGGAGTCTAGCTATCTTTATGATGGCTATCTCCCTATATCACCAGATGACCTGGAACTTGCTATGTAGACCAGGCTGGCCTCCATGTTGACCACCAGGCCTGGCCAAGATGAGAACTCCAATTATAAAGTGCTTAAGAACAAGGATTAAGGCCCAGTATTTTCATTCTTTTATCAGCCCACAAAGTATACAAAATAACAATTGCTGTAAGTATGCTGTACCACATACCATTAAGCAAAGTCGATCAAAAAGAGTTTGCTCCAATCCATTTTCATGAGCTGAATCAGAACCCTGAATTGCAGGAGGCAGCTGTTTGGGGTCTCCAACAAGAATTAACTTTTCACACTCAAATCTAAAAAGTAAAATTCAAAACTTAATCTAAACAACAAGCAAAGGTATAGGCATCATTTATTATACTTTATAAAATGACTTCAAGAATTTAAATCCAAGGAAGTGTGCTGAGGGCTAACAAATTTCAAGAGTGCTAATAATCATATTAAAGGCTTTGAAATGTTATGCATCAAAAAATTTTGGGGGCTGGACACGGTCGAGCAGGACCTTTGACTGATCTTCACATAGATGAAACTGGTAAAAAGGAGCCAAGGGCTCCTCCCAAGCCCATGTGACCCCTGAGGAACAGATCCTCAAAGGATCTTAAGAGTAAAAAGAAATTGGTTTCTTTGGACCAAATGTATGGTCTTAAACACCCAAAAGGAAAGTATAACCAAAGATTAAAGTGATCAGTATGTTTAAGAGTTGAAGGGATTACACATCCCAGACATTAGACTTAAGTCCATATAAACTGTTATTTAGACAATTATTTCTCATTGATGATTTTGTTTCTAATAAGAAAGTGTTGCTCAGATGTAAGACTTCAAAGGTCTTGGTCAGCAATACCGTAGTGCCCACCTGTAACTAAGGGAGAAAGACAACCCACTTTTGTTCTAAAATGATGGCTAAATTTATTTTCTCCTATCTGGAAGCCTTTGAGAGAGAACTGACACGGATTCTAGCCATTCCAACACCTATCAAAGTGCCTGAAAATAAACCCTGAGTTCATCATTCTTGAGTCCAGTCTTGGCAGACAAAAGAAAAATGAGGAGGAACCTAGTAGAGGGATGCTTTTGAAAGCTCCTGTCAAGAAACTCTAAAGGACTCCGATATGAACATTTGAAAATTTCTCTGTTCTGACTTTTTTCTGGTGCCCTGTCTAGAATTTATAATGCTAACTATTCTTGCCTTTACTTCTCCTTCACATCTCTTAGACACCAGTCAAGGACTTTCTTTTCTACCTACAGTTAAGGGTTATGCAATTTAGGAGTCTTTTAGATAGACCTACTGAAGGTGTACTCCAATTGCCTCACTCTGCATCCCTGTTCAGCATGGAAGAAGCCAGAGCGGTCTGCGTCCCAATTCCCTATTGGCAACTTCTTCAGAGGATGGTGTGGTAAGAATAGGAGGTAGGAATTGGCTAGGCAGTAGGGTAAAAAGACCCCAAAGAAAAGTAGCCAGTTTCTTGGCTAAAAGTCACAATGTCCCTGGGGCTCTTAGCAAAATACTCTGTTTCAAAGGCCAAAAATGTCAAAAGCATTTGGGAGCTCTTACCTAATCCTTAAAAGATTTTAGGGTTACCTCTTCAGAGGGGGAAATGTTAGAGTAGCAAAAAGCTCCGTAAGTTTAACTCCTCAAAACTATAAAATCCCTAGTCTGTTGGAGGACTCACCTTTCCAATCACACTGGTCAATCACCTCGTGATAGATCCACCCCTAGAAAAGCAGGTTCACCTTATGATATGCTAAATAGACGGGCAGAATACCTGGTGCATTACTGAGGTAGCAAATTTTTCCTGCCTGGAATCCCACCTTGTAATGGCAGAACTCTGAAACAGCCTCAGTCATTTAGGTCTCTTTAAGTTTACCTGCTTTCTGCCATTTGGGTCCATTCTTTAACTCTTTTATGAATGAGACTAAGAACCCTCTAGGGGACCCTCTTTCCCTCCATTTCAGTACAGGCCAAAACTATGGACATATGTATATGTCTTACTTTAATTAAGAGACAAAGTGACCTACAGTAACAGTATGTGAAGGTGCTTTGCAGACAATGATAGATTGGCACCATCCTTTGAAATAGTCTGGAAAAAAATTCATTTTGTACCCTTTGTATGTTCAGAATGTAGCATTATCAGAAACCACCCAAAAATAAAATAAAAATATAAAAAATAAAATTTTAAAAAAGGGCACTGAACATGACTGCTAGTCAGCTCCTATCATCACTCTTTGGTTTCCAGAAATATGTTTCAAAAGACACTGTGCCATTAATGGCTGTTGATTAAGGGAACGTAAGGTATTCCACATCCTTAGTAATAGGGTAGTGATGGAGAGGATGGAGGGGGACTCTGAATGTGATCAAAATACATTGTATGAGATTCTTGAAGAATCAATAAAATATTATAAATGTTTTTTTTTTAAAAAAAAAAAGATTTTGGGGGGCTGTAAAGATGGCTCAGTAATTAAAAGGCTTGCTCTGCAAGCATGAGGACCTGAGTTCAGATCCCTAGTACCCATGTAAAATCTGGGCACAGCAACAGCACTACACAACTATATTCCCAGTGCTTGGGTCAAGGAGACAGGAGGATTCAGGGAACTCACTGAGTAGTCTAGCTGGATCCAGTGAGAGGTGGAAGCCAGGCATGGTGGTACACACATTTAATCCCAGCACATAGGAGGCAGAGGTAGGTGGATCTCTGTGAGATTGAGACCAGCCTAGCCAAAAGTAGAGGGAAACTCTGTCTCAAAAAGACACTCCCCCCCACCTGAAAAATAAATAATAAAGCAGAGAACCATAGAGGAAGACACTCAGTGTCACCTTTCTGGCCTCTACATGACTACACATGGGCAAGTAACACCCCGACACATACACGTGCACACACACACATACATACATGCACATGCAGAGAATCTTTCACATAACTTAATCTTTTCAAACAAAATATATTAAATGTCCCTTGTCTATGAATGGAATTAGTGTTTCAAAGAACACATATGGGAAACACGGATCTTTAGAACCCAGAAATTCTTTGAGTTCATTTGGTTTAATTCTTGTTTTAGGGGTAAGATAAACTAAGCCCCTAAGCTAAATGTCTTTCTAAATAAGAATAAGATAGAGAGAGGAAAAGTCCTAGGTTTGTTTTGTTTTTGGAGACAGGGCCCTGTTTCCCTGTAGCTCCCTGTCTATGAACATGGTAAGGCTATTTAATATCTCTAAGTTCCAGCATTCTTTTTTAAACAATGTGTATGAGTGTTCTGTCTGCATATATGTAAGTGCACCACATGCATGCAATGCCCATCAAAGTCAGAAGGTGGCAGCAGGTCTCCTGGAACTGTAGTTCCAGAAAGCTGTGGTGCCATATGGTACTGGGAACTGAACCCAGGTTCTCTATAAGAGCAGCTATTGCTCTTAATTGCTAAGTCATCTCTCAAGCCCCAAAGGACTTTTTATTTGGGGGTGGGGTGGGGGGACGGACTATGCAGCCCTGAACTCTCTATGTAGACTAGTTTGAGGCAAAGTCACAGAGATCCATCCGCCGGCCTGCAGAGTCCTGGGATTAATGGCATGGCCACCATGCCCAACTTGTAACTTGGAGGTAGTAACACCATGCATGGCTACTGTAAGGATCAAATTAGGTATACAATGTGTTTAGAATACAGCAGCATTCCCCTCTACCCTCTACACAGGGCCTGATTGGCCTACCAAGGATGCTCGGAAGAATGACCGAATCATTCTGTGTGCCCAGGTCTATCTCAGTTAAAGTGGAAAACCTCATGGTCTTGGAACCTACCAAGTCCCAGGCAAACCCTGACTGTTGGTACTTTCTTATTAACTTGGGACTGAGCAAGGCCTACTAAATTTTTTTTTTTTTTTTTTTTTTTTTTTCCTTTTTTTGAGACAGCATCTCCCCGTAGGCCCAGTTGGCCTGGAACTTGCTATGTAGACCAGGCTGGCTTCTGGAACTTGCTTTGTAGACCAGGCTGGCCTCAAACTCAAAGAGATCTGCCTGCCTCTGCCTTCCAAGTGCTGGGATTAAAGGTGTGTACCACCTCACTCTGCTGTTCTATTAAATATGAATTTGGTACCTCCATAAGAGATATTTTTATTTTTCAATGTTACTGAGGGTTGAACCCAGGTACTACGTATGTTAAACACATGCTCTACTCATTGAACTATATCCTAATCCCAAAAGATGCTACAGAAGCACAATTTTCCATCAGATAGAACAGGTTAGAAAATGTCATATTCTGAATTTCTGGGAACAAATTTTCATTTTCAACTTGATTTTCTTTATATGCTTTATTTATTCATAAAATAAAAATACTTTCAAAAGCTAAACCTCAAACTTTATCAAAGTAAGTGAACTGGAGGACATGTCCAATGGACTCACAAACTACAAAAATCTTCACCAGCGACACATCTGACAGAGGTTGAATATCTAGAATATATAACAAACTCAAAAAACAGAGAATCCAGACAAGAAGTAACCCAATTAAAAGATGGGCTAAGGAGCTGAACCGAGAGTTCTCAAATGAAGAAGTAAAGATGGCTATGAAGCATCTTAAAAGATGTTCAACATCACTAGTAACTAGGGAAATGCAAATTAAAACCACTTTAAGATTTCACCTTACCCCAGTCAGACTGGCTAAGATCAAGAGAACAAATGATGCCAAGTGTTGGAGGGGATGTGGGGAAAGGGGAACACTCATCCACTGCTGGTGGGGCTGAAAACTGGTTCAAGCCCTATGGAAAGCAGTGTGGAGAACTCTTAAAAAACTACAAATGAACCTACCATTTGACCCAATTATACCACTCCTTGGCATATACCCAAAGAACTCGTCCTGTTGCAGAGACACTTGTACATCCATGTTTGTTGCTGCTCTTTTCACAATAGCTAAGAATGGAAGCAACCTAAGTGTCTCTTAACTGACGACTGGATAATGAAAATGTGGTACATTTATACGATGGAGTTCTA